TCCCGAAACAACATTTCTCTCCCTGTTTATTAAACAGTATGTATATCATTAATACAATTAATCTCCTTCAAAATACATTAAGCTATGTAATTTTAATAAGCAAAGAAGGATCAACAGTCTACCCACATGATACAGAGCTACATTAAGGTTTGTTTTAAGATATAGGAAGCACAAAAAGAATTCTGTATTTTCAGTAAACAGGCCAAGAAAACTGTACAAAAATGACTTGCAGATAAAAGTTTTCAATTTCTAAGTATGTAGTCCTTTTAATGTTCTTGGACTCTGCACAATTATGACAATTCCTTGACATATTACCTTTTTATAAATAAAAGAGAAGCAACTTAAACATTTGGAACCTAAAGCCCCCCTTCTAGAGATATTTAATTTGAACCTTAAAAAGCATTTTCGGGTCTGTCTAAGTGTGGGGAAAGTCTGAGTGTTCCTCGTTTGAATGAAAGAGGTTTGGTAGGAGACTGTTAAACTGAACAGTAAAAAGGCCACCCTTGTATAAACACGGCACAGATTACAGTAAGACTGCTTTCACCCTAATTAGCACACAGATACAACTGGCTAAGGCAAGTGTAAACAAACCAGGCTCTGCTTCTGCTAATGAGATGCCACTCACTCAGGGGTAGTGGTGCTGAGATCAGCAGGACTCAGAGGACAATATTCAACATCAGCAGGAGGATTAAGAAATTGTTCTTTAAAAGTAACAACACAAATTCCCAAACACAAACCTATAAGTACCTACAGCAGTGGACTGCTACCTTGGAAATGGAAAACTATAAACTCAACACAGGTCTCAACCACTGAAATGACTGTACTGCCTTAATGATTTATTCCACCTATGAAACCTAAAGAGACCACAGCTCTGCTGGGCCAAGCTTTAATTGGGCAAAATTGTACTTTTTCAATATTGCTTTTATTTTTGGAACATTCATCTGCTTAATTGAAACTTTTGTCAGTTTGTTACTAGTAAAGGTTGCGGTGTACACATGAGTTAAATGTACATAAGTTCTCATCAATCAAAAAGAATGAATGAAAAATTCCAAGTGGCCTATTCCATTGTGTAAATCCAAATGCATTTAGTATATAATAGTACTAACCCCCGAACAATCACATTTTTATTGTTATTGTTGATTTAGCTGCAGGTTAAAAAAAGACTAATACAGTAAAGGTAATTATACAATACTTTTTTAAACCAAAGCTATACATTGCCAGTCCAATTGCCAAACATCTAAAAGATAATCCTTTTGTGTGTTCTGCAAACCAAACAGTCCACAAACTAAACAGTAGTTACTTTATATAAAAACTTAAACCTAGGGTGCTGCCCTGAGGTTTGGGATAATGACAAAGAAGCTTCTCTCTTAAAAACAGTCACTCGCCAACTTCAAGATGACTGCTAGTGTAGTAGACACTTTTAATTAAACCTGCTAACCATTTGTATGTATAAATTTTGATAAGAGAAAATTCAAGTATATGTGTGATGTTTGACACAAAATTCCAAGAAGAAAAATCACTTCCTAAATGACTGATTATAAGACAGACACCTCAGTCTAATTCTTCATGCATGTAGCTTATGTGTGCAACACTCATAGTTCATTCACACTTTGGGCAAAGCTTGGCAGCACACAAACAGCACAATAGAGGGAACAAGAAGGGTAATTCCACAAAATAAAAAAAAGGTGGTGGTTTGGGGCTCCAAGGATTGAACAAGCTTCAGTTCAAAGAAAAGCATGTGTTAGCATATCCTCATAATGAACTAAAAACAGAAAAAAAACAAGCAAATAGACATGCAAGGCATACAAGGTGTCCATTCCTTTTCACTCAGATGTGCCAGCTTTCCACTCTCAGCCCGCACATGACAGTTCAAAGAGAAACTGTTTTTCCCCCATATAAATAGCACAATTCTATCATCATTCTGTAGTGCAGCTATATTATGTTGGGACAGAACAAAAGAGAGATGAAGAAAAATCCCCAGAAAAAGTTAAGTAACGTACTTCACTCTGTGAAAAGAGGGCTCTTGGTGGTGAAAGACTGGACAATTTCTATACACATAAACTTCATTTAAAACAGACCGTTGTATGCAGGACTGTTACAATTATCCAATGTCAGCAACAGAACATTTTGGCCATTTACAAAAGAGAACCAGTGCAGGGCTGAACCATTTATATATTGGAATAACTGAAGACTGTCATATGCTACGTGTAATTCTTATCTTGTGTCAACAATATGGCTGCCAAACCTTTACAAGTCTTTCCAACTAGTCTGCCCCTTATCCCAACAATATGCTTTCAGCCAAGCCAAAGTGAACATGCCAAATCGCATTTCGTCAACATGTGGACAACATTTTAACTCCAACGTGAACAGCATGGTGCTTCCCAGGCTTTGGGGGTCTACGATACTTCCAGCTGAATTCAGGAAGAACCTGAAGCCATAGGAGACCACATATTTTGTGCAAGATTAATTTCAAAATCATCTTTGAAAATGAACAACAAGCTATGAGTGAATGATAAAACTATGTTAAGAGAATTCAGATTTTTTCTACAAATTAATGGTAGAAATATACATTGTACCCCACAATGGTCAGTATTTATTCCTTCTCCATTTTTACAACTCCTTCTAAAATGCCAGACTCAGGCAGCCATAAACCCTCTCACTCCAAATTGCATAAAAGCTGGTCATGTAAAATAAGCATGGCCCTTAAAAAGCTGAAAGCACTGCAATGCCTTGCCAAATGCTTTGGCAATAGTAAGCGCTCCTACTTTTGTGGAAGTAACAGCATTTTTCCTGTAGCCACTAATTATGACAGTCTCCAAAGTACATCTAGCCAGAGCTGGATTCTAAGAAGTCAGAAGACCTTATTGCTTCTAGTCCAACACATTTCAACCAATGCATTTGGAAGAGACAGGTATGCTCAAGAATGTGTCCACGGCTCTGCAGGATTCTGTTTTGCATGCTAATTTCAATTAGCTCCCATGACAGAAGATTGCAGACAATCTCCAACAGAAAGAGAAGCAAAGCTCAAGAAAGATGTGATTACTTCCATCATAACTCCAGATTCCTTTCCCTGCTGCCAGCACAGCATTCATATTAACTCTTCCTCAAGCTAAACAGTTAGCCCAGACTGTGTTCTCAGAAATACTGTGATTAAACCACTTCCAGCCTTTAATTAAAATGTATACCATTTTTCCAACCCAAGCCCAATTATACAACAGAGGTGGAGATTATTTTAATGAGATGGCACATCTACTCATAAAAAGGCGGAATAAAGATAATTTCTACATAGAACCATGGCTGGCTATGACAAGCAAAGAATTCAAGAGCTCCCAGTGTATGGTGGAAAGCAAGCACATCCTGGCTAGCTCATTCGTCCAACCAGTCATGCAGAAAATCAACCTCTACATAGCTATCAGAAACAATGTGTTATTTTGGGAGTCTATACAGGAGACAAAACAAACCTGAAAACTAGACCATGTTCAATTAAAATAATCAAGGACAAGGGATCTAGGGTGTATATATACCCATTTGAGATTTATGCTGTTTTTTTTTAGTATCTATTGTTTTGTGTTGTCTATATAGACTTCCACTGTCTGGCCCTTAGCCAAAATAGCTGTTAGAATAAAACAGCTACTTCAGTAATTCAGTAAAATCTGTGGAAGATAGCAAAGGAAAACTGGCTCAATGTAAATAAAGGAGACAGAAAATATGGAAGACATGACATGCAGCTTCACCATATCACACACCAGTTCAGCATTGTCAAGGATAATGAGGCATTTGGTTTTACACTGATTCACAATATATAACATGCTTGCATTCACCACGATAACAGCAGTTTCAGATGTAAGCATACGAAATCCTAATGACAACTAACAGGGGTGAGAGAAATCCAAGGCACTGACTTTTTTATGTTTGGTAATCCTCACATTTGATAAGACCAGTAAGAAATGTCTGATTAAAAGGAGTATCTTCAAGACATTTAACCAAAATTACCAAGGTCTTTTATAAACCTTAACAGTGTTTATCAGAAGACGAAGACAAAACTTGAAAAAATTAAGAAGCAGACAAGTCAGTGTGTGAATGAGACTGTGAAAAATGTATCACACTAAAAATTTGGGTTAACTAAAAGTGGAGTAAAGGGCAGGAGGAAGGAAGCAAGGCTACTACAGACACAAGGAAATTGATAAAATTACGGTACGAACTCTAAAAGCTCAATTTCTAGAACCTATGGACCAATGCTGCAGTAAATCTAGAAATGAAAGAGGAGAAAGGGCGGTTATTAAATTTTCAAGCAGGATGCCTGTTTCATTTAGTGCTGCTATAGATCATCTGCAAATTAATTTACCAACAGCCTAGTTGAGAATGAAGTTTTTCTAGTGATTTGTACGGGCTAAAAATTGAATCACAGAGAAACTGTGGTTCCACTTAGCAGTAAAACCTAATAGAAAATGAACAAACTGTAAAGCTGTAAATTGTACTGTCGTTTGGTTAGCTGTTTCAATATCTGAATGAAAGCATTTCCACAGGTCTCTGACAATACAACTCCTCTTTCTCTTTTTTGTACACACAATGCAAGACAAAGCAGATTTTACAAGCCCTCTGGAACCATTAATGAGAATGCTGATTTTCTGGCCTGTAAGACCTTTGCTACCAATAAGAATCCTTCAGATCTGCATTAGATCATTTGAAATAACTACAAAGATTTCCAGCAGGTGCTTTATTAAATTTAAAATAAGAACTCACACCTTCAGCAAAATTTACGCTAGGGACAAAGCGGTGAAAACTAACAGGTAGAATTTATTTTCAAAAACATTGTCTAATGTGAACACAGATTGCTATTGCAGATAAAAACATATCCACCATGTGTATAAAAACATATCCAGTACTTAACTATGCAGCCAGTGCACAGCATTTAGCTGTGTCATGGTTGAGAAAAGTCATGGTGTTTTAAGGAAGAAGGCAGGGTTTATAAAAAAGGAAAAGGTGATATTTTTAAAATACCTTGAATACACTGCAAGGACCCATCTTCTGCTCTTATTGTAAATGTTTCTCCAGGGTTGACTTGAACCAAAATGACCTGCAGTAAAGAAACACATAAAACCAATAAATGAGCAACAGACACACATAAACAGGACAAACACAACTAGTTCAGCAGTGTAATGTTCAACAGAAGACACTCAGGTCATGATCAAGATTGTGGTGAAAAACGCGTATACTAACAGATTTTCTAACAATATGTCATTAAGAAGAAAGAAAATGTCTGAGTGGATGAGTGGAGAGTCCAAAGCAATATTCACAGAATCCCTGCAAAATAAACCTGGCAAGAAGGTAGCACGAATCAATAACCAACGGAAATGGAGGCAACAGATGAAAGCACCAATCTAAAACTTCAAGTCCGTCTTTAATAACTGCCATTAAGAGAAAAAAACATGGAAAAGCTTTCTTAGCTGGTGCTGCAATGGTCACTTCTGCAATAATTCACCTTCATTATTCTCATACTAATTTAGACTAAAAAAAAATCAGCAGTTCAAGGTTCCAAATTGAATCTAAACTGGACCTGAACTACATTGAAGCTTATAAAGAAAAGGCCTGAAAATAAAAATACATTGGAAAAAAAAAACAAAAAAAAGATTGCTACTGTACATCCAATATAACCCAATTTGTATCTGTTTCTCAATTAGTACAATACACAGTTCTCCCATGTTAGTTTTCCCAAACTGCTTAGATTTGTCTAAACACCTGAAATATACACAAATAAATACTTATAAATTAATAAATAATTCCTTTTATAAAAAATAATACCAGCTAATTAAAATTGACAAAAATTGCATACATTTATAATATAAAGATTGTCATACCACAGATAAAAAACAATTCTGCTTCGTGGTACTTTAAAAAGTCTAACTTGATCTGAAGTGTCAGTAGAGAATTAACAGCTCCTTACCATCATATTGTCTGAACAGACGTTGTTAACAGTGTATAGCTGTCTGCATATATGAAAAAGTTGTGCTGCCATTCTCAGACTCTCTAAGCTCTACAGGTAAGTAAGAGGATTTTATCATTATTCTCCTCTTTGCAATATCATTGGCAATTCTCTGATCACGCTGTTTAATACAGTGAATTCTGGGCTTCCTCTTCCTGCAGGACGGGCTGCTGATGAGGTTGCTATGGTTACCAGGATGTATTCTGCACTGTCAACTGAGGTTTAAAAAGAAAAAAAAGGCAAAGCGACAAAGCCTTTTTTACAACCTCCCAGAGCTCTTACACACCAGCCTGCTCTCCAGCGCCTGCAATACAGCAATGATGATGGTACAAGCAAATTACATATTACACAGCATCTATCAACATACTTGTGTTGTACGCCTTCCCAGCACTGTTGGGTATGAAAACAAAGACTGACGGATTAAAAGCAGGGAAACAAACTTCAGATGATAAGGCTGTGTATGTTTCATCAGCCATGGTAGGAGCAATACATTGCTGCCTTATTTCTAATTTAATGAGAAAAATATACATAGTATGTATGTGGCGATGATTCGACTCTTCCTTGACAACACATGCAAAATAAACACCAGGCACTGCATCACATAAGGTAGAAAGAGGATGAGTCAAATATGATTAATATATAAACGTTAACGTTTCATATCTTAAGAAAAAGATTTTCTCCTCTTGTTGCATTCTGTAATGATCTGACCCTCCAGAGATTAACCGTAAAACTAGTCCAACAACAGAAATAAAAATTCAGTCTGCTTTTGGTGCAGCAGAAAATCTCAGTTAATTCCTAGAAATTTGGATGTCCCCACAGTTTATGATTCTGATATGGTTCAAGGTGGGAGGGCAGCGACAGCACATTGTGCCGACTGAACAAGTTTCCATTTATTCTAACTTTCTTACATTTTCAAAAGAAATTATGTTAGATGCAGTTGTACATTTATTCCGATGCAATAACAAAACATACTTGGAAAGATTTGTTTAGTAACCCAAGTGAATTAAAATCCTGAATTTGCCTCACTCTCAAGACCAGACTCCTGACAGTCTTTATCCAAAAGCACAACTTTTACCACATTTTGTAGTAAGAAAAGTCAACTCTAAAGGCTACAACTTAATATGCAATGTAGGCTTTTGGCATGAAGGGTCTTAAAACACCAGCTGTGCTCATATAGTCTTTGGACCTTCAAAACACAGCAGTGTAAACTGAATGTTTCTGCAAAAATTGGCTTATGGCCGTAGACAGTTAAGTTACAGGAAGATAACATTTGTGCTACAATTAAGCACTGTGGATAACCAATTTAAAATTTTGATAAAAAACATACGTGCAGCCACAAAATGAACAATATCTGCTGCACAGGGAAAAAACATGGATATTATATTCAAAACAAAAACTGCACAAACTAATAAGGACTGTCTGAGCTCTTGGGCTTTCAATGATGTAATAACGCACCTGCTGTGATCCATCCCCATTAACCATGTGAGGCATCATAGGCATCTCCCCATTCAGTAAAGGTGGCAGGTCCAGTGGGATCTGGTCTGTCATCATCATTGTGACGTACATTCATGGAGAACTTTCCTCTACTGTCTTTCTGCAAAAACAAACAATTCCAGCAGTTACCATCACAAATCCGCTCCATGGAACCTAAGGGAATTTCAAAGAGTTTTCTAATTTAATTAACAATAACACCAACAACAACAATAATAATTATTTGCATTTGTGATGCAATGTATATATAGGAGAGGGCCCACAGGATCCAAGGGTAAGAAAAGCTGTGATGGAGTTTCTATATGGACACAACAAAGAACCTCAACCTGAAACCCATGGTGGTCAGTTGACACCTTGAGTGAAGATAGCACAGTGTTAAAGTGGCTGTAATAAAGCTGTAAATGCTTCTTTTCTGGTTAGTTAATCATTTATTTTTTAGTCTTGGTGAATGTTTTTATTCAAATATCCCTGACAAGCTAGCATACCATTAGTGAATATTTCTACTAATTTATCTCATACTCCTAAACAGAAGAAAATGTGCAGGCCACACACCCATTTATCTCCTGTTTCTCCTCTTATCGTCTCTTAAAATGACCAAATGCAATAACTATTCTATCTTGGGAATTTCAAAGAGTGGATGAAAATGGCTTAAATATTTTGTGGAAAAGCTCTTTTAAAAATTCAAACCTAAGATATATAAAGAATTTTGAGTAACTTGAGAAAATGTGATCCAGAGCACTTAAGAGGCTAAAAACAATGTGAAGATCCAAGTACCAAGTTTTACAAAACCAGCTTATACAAGGCTGTCAAAACACGCATCAGCAATACTGAGCACTTCAGAAAAACTTCAAAGACAATAGCAGGATGACATCATCATCATAGGGGAAAAGGGTGTTTCTCTATGGGGAGACTGCCCATTGCTACAGTAGATAATGACTATTTATATCCTGGTGCTATTAAATGACTATTACGCTGCTCATAAATGAACAATAAACAGAGATTCTGTATTTTGGTTTTCTCTTTAAACTGAACAGATCATGAAGTGTTGAGTGAGTCAAACCCTGATGGAATGCATAGCTCTGAGGGAGTAATAATTGAATTTCAAAAGTTTTTGTTCAACAGCTCTAAGCTTTATCAAGCTTTATTATTTGATATGGCTTAGTACAAATAAAAAGCATCCATTAAATTAGTGGTCTCAGAATTTCAGACACTTGAGTGAGGAATGTCTGAACGAAGTGCAGTTGCAGTTATTATAGGAAAAGATTTTCTCAGGAAGTGTCCTTCACTTGACACAAAAGTGCTTCCTGACAAAGCAAAGCATATAACGGGTCACATCAACCACACAGATGCATGTGAAGAACCATTTATCTTCTGACTCAAATATTTTGAATGCTCTATCAGTCATTTAATCATCTGTTTGACTTAGTGAAAGAAACTGGGCTGCCAGTTTTCATTCATGAAAAACAAACCTTAAACATTACTTGTTTGGAAACTCAGCATGCTTCATATATATTACTGGATAGAATAGCATGTTGTCCAAATTAAATACTTTAGTTAAATACTTTAACAAAAAGCTTTTAATTTCAATACTGTTTATAATTCGTGCATTGACAGTATCTTGGACTATACACAAAGCTGGTCCAAATATACAAGTGGCAAGAAAGATATATGAAGCGAAATAAAGACATAAGTGTTGTGCATGATATTCTGCAGAAAAGTGACAGAAGGTTTAATGATCAGACAAAACTTCAGCTGGGCCTGAGGAAGCTGGTCAGGATTGAGAGGAAAATTGATTTTGTAAAGTACAGGCAAATTGTAGAAGAAAACGGTCAGGACCTGAAGCACAAGGATAAAGCCTAACTTGAATCCAATAGAAGATTTATGGTAAGGCTTGATTATTGCACTCCATCAACTATACCCAATAGGCTGGAGTAATTTGTGTTAGGAATAAAAGATGAAATAAAACCACTGTGCAAAGCTGGCAGAGACTGCACTCAGTTCTGTCAAAGTGTTTTGACCAAGTACTGACTTAGGGGGGTGAATACATGATGATAAATATCACCTTATCTCCATTGCAGGTGATGCTGACACTTAAGCTCCTTCACATACAGCAAAGTTCAGTTGGATCCTTTCAATCGTGAAGTAAATAACATATATATATATACACAGTACTTGTAATTCATCCAAATGTGATGTTGTCATGGGGTGGGTGAATGCTGAAAAGATATGGAAATAAAATCCACTCTTGTCAATAGACTGATCTTACTAAGAGAGATGTCTTACACTGCCAGGTATTTAACAGTGGTGACCAATAATAGAGGGGTCAGTTAGTGCAACTGCTGGCAAGATCTTTTCCCCATAAGAGCATCAGTCAAAGAGGACAGACTGTTGCCAAAACACTAAGCAGTCTCTACTCTTCCCAGTAATCTAGGCTTAGACACACATGTTCTCAATTGAATGCTGGCTTGCTCATGAGATCATAGGAGGGATTCTGTGGATCAGCTGGAGTGACAGGGGCGCCTTCTGATGATGTCGCAACTGGTGGAAAATGTTCTCAAAACTTTAGAAAAGCAGCAGTTTCAAATAGAGAAAAAAAAATAAACGGCTCTTTAGGAGCTCAAAGATCACTTGGCTTCACAGTGGTCATCTTCAAGTTGATTCCTGCTCAAAGAGCTGCTAGAGAAGTGTTCCCATTTTCCACTGCGAGTCTCAGCACATTCCTTACACAAATTCTTTTTCAATTACAGCTTATTCTAAGTTAGTTGCCATAAGAAAGCTCTGCCCCCATTGTTAGAAAGCACTTCTATGAAAAATCCCATTCATGGCGTTGGTATCAAAAACATATTGTATGACTAACTCTTCTTGTTTACGGAAAATATCTGATGTCTTTGTAACCTTATTAATGAAAAGGAAGTCCCCTCCTCTAAAACGGCCAAACACAGAGCATGTTCATAATATGTGCCCTGAAAAACCATTTGGAGTGGGGCTCCTTTGGCCTTTTTTAATACCTGAAATAATATCCACATGCCATCTTAAAAATTTCAATCCTGAAAATCAGCTTGAGACTTCACTGCCACCTACAGAAGCAGTTTAATGACAAAGGAAACCACAGGATATTTAAGTTAAAGTGAACATTCGGTTGCGTGTATGATATGCAATGAAGTTGACATCTTCCAATCAGCCATACAGGCAGCTCTTCTGGGACACAAAATGTACAGAATGTAAATTGACAGAAACTATGATAATTAATGGAAATCAATTTCTCTAACACCTCTGAAAATGGGATTTCAGGATAGATGGAAAATGGGACGAAACTTCCATGTGACCTGTGATGAGGGCAACAGAGCTACTCAGACACTAAAGTGGTAAAAAAAAAAAACAGAGAGACCCCTTGCAGAACAGATGAGGGAGACCCCAGCTTGCAGTGTTTGTCTGTAGGAGATAATTCCTTAAACACTGAGATTAAAAATAGGGTTTTAAATCAAACTACAGGTAGAGCAGCAGCTAATTATCCAAACTATAATGACAATTTGCAAAACATAACGGAAGTGCCGCAAAACTGCTTTCGGGCAATCGAGTGTTTCATTAAAAGAGAACTGTGACAAGAAAAGGGAAATAAACTGCATAAGATCAGTGACTTAAGATCTGTAAGCAGCAGGAAAAGGGAAGTTCACTCCATAAGAGACCCGCATACACCTAATTTTTAAGATGGCATGTGGATATTATTTCAGGTATTAAAAAAGGCCAAAGGAGCCCCACTCCCAATGGTTTTTCAGGGCACATATTATGAACATGCTCTATGTTTGGCCGTTTTGGAGAAGGGGACAAACTACAAAAGTAATTAACGACTTAAAAAAACGTTAAAGGACCGTTTTAAATAATGGACTAAAAAAAGCACAACAGAAGGGTATGAATGTTTCGGGGGAAAGGCTAAGCTTGAAGGATGAAGTCATGATGAGGTCATTTTTATTTAAATGCAGTTATCAAATTCTTCATCTATCTTCCAGGGAGGGAAGAACAGGGTGCGAAAGGGAAAGTGTGCGCTGCACTCCACTGTTCCATGACTATTGTCTTCTTGAATGTTTAAGAAACCCCACTAAGAATCCAGTTTCTCTGAAACTCTTTTAACACACATACTTCATAGAGCCTCTCTGCTACCCAGCTGCTATAATTAGCATGTTCATTGAAATGTGATACCCTTTGTATCTTGGGACCTATGCATCATTTGCTGAAAATTGAATTGAGCACAGTTCACAGAATATAAAAGAGGAAGAAGAGGAGAAAATTTTGAAACAGAACGAACCACAAAGTGACATATAGAAATGACGTGCAAATTAACATGCATGAGTGCCGTTATTCTTTTTTAACATGATTTTTATCTTTTGCTTATTTTTAGCTGTCAAACTATTTTATGATTGCGGTACCGGAGAGCAACTCTGCTCTGCATGAAAATCCTGTTAGTCATTGTGCGAAGGTGGCAATTTGCATTATACAAATGAAAGAGTACGTTTTGATTGTTCTGACCCTTTGTTGCTCTGCATTTTAACTGAAATGTATCACCAATAATACAGAGTTGATTGTTTTGTTCAGATATTAAGATTTGGATATCTGGTTTAATATTCAAACCATTCAAATAAAATTTCAAATACATTTTCTCCTTCAGAAAAGGAAAGACTAATTACAATAGAAGAAACAATAAAATGGGACAATATACCTAGTCAAGTTCAAAGACTTTTAGTAGCTTTTACCTCTATGCAGGTTGTACACACACCAAATACTGTATAAATAATTCTAATAAATAGGTGACAGTAATCAAATGACCTAAACTGAAACAAACCTTTGTGGATTACAATATTAAAAAAATCTAAATTTCATTTAATAGTGAAGGTGTACTAAATATTCTTTGGGACTACAAACAGCCTTGTTTTAGGAAAAACAGCCTCGTGAAGCAACACTTTAATTTCCAATGCTGTAAACTGTACTGTCTGTAATAGGGAGATCCACAGTTTCAGTCACACCTGCAATTAACTTATAAAAGTCACATCTGTAACAGTGTGTTTAACTTCATTGTCTACCTCCTTCTTGAAATCTTAATATATAACC